CAGGGCACATGCCTAGGTTGCAGGCCAGTTCCCAGCAGGGGACACATGAGAGGCAACCGTACATTGATATTTCTCTCCTTCCCTTTATCTCTAAAGATAAATAAATAAAATCTTAAAAAGAAAAAATATATAAATGAATTGAAAATTATCCTCACCTTAGTTGTGGTATCAGCAGGTAATCATTACATGTAATGTTAAGAGATACCATATACTGAATATTCATTTGCAAGGCAGTATGCTATGGAATTTACATACATTGTGGTACTTGAGCCTCAGAACAACCCCATTTTACAAAGCAATGAAATTGAGATTTGGAGAAAATAAATAAGCTGCCAGAGGTTACAGACTGATGAGTGGCAGACCAGGATTCTGGCTTAGGGCTTTCCCAGCTCCAAATCCATTTGCCTTTACAGAGCCACATCACATTGAAAACAGTGTCATCCCTCCGGGTAATATTAAGTTGATATCAGATATTCAGTCTCTTGTTAGAGAGCCTTGGTTGCAAGGAGAAAAGTAGAGAATAAAATACATTACATGCAATACAGAGAGGGCCATAGGGTCCACTTCCTTCACTCCTAAAATTGGTTGCCTTTCTTGTAAGTTTCCTGGAGTAGGTGTGACAATCCCTGTGTGTCTTGCTCAGTTTTAATGTTTATATGAAGTAACTGGTACTAGTTAAATACAATATGAATGATTTGAGAATAATATACCTTAAAAAATAGACTCAGATTGATTCAATGTAATCCAGAGTATTGTCTGACTCGCTAACTCAGTTGCATTCCAGAATACTTTCCTAAGTGGAACAAAGGGATTGAAGTGACAGCTTAATCCTAGGGATTGTATGGACCCCTTGTTGTACCCCATATCACCTACCCCATGGGAAGGTATGCCACCATACCTGTTAGATTATGTATGCACATTATCTCACATGTTGCAGTGGAAAAGGATTGAGATCTGCTGCCAGGAAGTACTCAATAGATGTGTAGTGAAGTAATGAATGAACAGACAGTAGATGCTTCCCTTCCTTTTGGTTGTTATTTTTACAAGGAAAACAGCTGTAAGAGATGAGATGGATTTAAGCCTGTATAAAAATATTAGCAAAATTTTGTTCCTATTGCTCAAAATTCTGGGAACTATTTTAAGTATTAGCTTATTTCACAGCTTATTCTTAGTATGCCATAATGTAACAATACCAGCACTAGCCAAGAACATTGGAGCTTTCAGTTTTGAGATAAAAATTGATTCCATAATGGGGATCCAGTAATTCAGCCATTTGACAAGTCCCCTTCTCCCTAAAAATGTCATCACTGGCATGGAGATGAAGAAAATGAGAGTTCTGAACAATAGGGCCCACATCTTTGAATTCATCTAGCCATGGGCTCTCAGATAATATCGGGTTGACTCCTTGGAGGTGTCAGCTCATAGTCAAAGGACTTCATCTCACCAAGGAAAGCAAAAATCAGTGGGTTCTACTAGCAGCATTCTAATGAAGGCAATCTGGCAATGGCAGCATGGACAGCCCAGAGAAGAGCAACCAGAGCAGGTTATAGCATGAGTGCAGGTACAAAGTAGTTCTATTTCCATCAATATGATTAGGGACCAGCCTTTATAGAATTCTGGTCATATTCCATGTCTGGATTTATATATCAGTCCTGAGCACAGAACTGGAATGACAACTTTCTGGGCTGATGGTATTAACCAGTTCCACTATGGCATCTTTATAGATCTTGAAGTTTTTTCTTTTTTGTTAAGTCTTATTTTTTTAAATTTTTAGACAGAGGGCAAGGGAGGGAGACAGAGAGAGAAAAAAAACATCAATGTGTGGTTGCCTTTAACACACTCCCTACTAGGGTGCTGGCCCACAACCAGGCATGTACCTTGATCAGAACTGAACCCTTTGGTTCACAGGCCAGTGCTCAATCCAATGAGCCATACAAGCCAGGGCTAGATATTGATGTTTTAATGACTTTTGTGAACCACATGGGTGAAAGACCTGAAAAATAAGTGTCCTGTAAAAGTGAATAAATTGGAGATTGTGGGAAGTTGTCGATGAATAGTTAAATAAATTACATCCCTATTAAAATAGTAATGGTGGCAATAGAGGGAAATGGAATGGTGGTGAGGGAAAGTGGTGAATTGATGAGACAACAGTAGATCAAAGAAATGAGAAGTTTGGGGGAGAAGTTCATGAGTTCCACTTTAGACCTGTTTAGTTTTAGGAGTCTGTTGGAATCCAGGAGCCTGCACCAACCCTCTTCCCCAGCTAGACATGTCTGGAGCTCACTAGAGAGGTTGGAGCCAGAGATAGACACATCTTCATGAGGATGGCCCTGTAAGCTGTGGTGGAAATGAGGTGGCCCAGGAATATTGTAATGAGAGAAGTGGAGCCCAGACAGGGCTCTGGGGAACTCCAATATTTATCCAAATGTAGTATTAGAGGCACCCCCCAAAGAGCAGGCAAAGTGGCAGAGAAGTCAGGGTGTGAACCAGGAGGGCAATGTCTCTGAGGTTAACAAGAGAGGGCCCAGTGCTGCTGGTAGGTCAGGTGAAAGGAGGGCCAAAAAGTGCTGAATTAATTTAATAAGGAGTAAGAAGAATTTCCAGTTTTGGTACTTCCTAGGGGAGTAAAACCATTGAGGATGGTTACTTCCATTTTCAGAAAACATGCAACCCTTGACTTCTGGGCCACTTCTGGTGATTTTGTTTCTGGCCATTATGCTCCACACTATGCTGTAGCCTTCTGTTTTTGCTGTTGCTTTTTTCCAGTTCTCTGGATGGAAGGTGAGAGCTGACATCATTGAGGTAGCTGGTGGGCAGTAGTGGCTTTGAGCTCCATTTGAAGGAAGGGAGAGGAGCTAGGGCAGAATATGTCTTAGAAACATCTGAGGATGAGTTTCTATCCCATTTTCAATATGAAGGTTGCTATAACAACTCTGAACTCTAGTGATTGTTTTACTTTGATCCAGAAAAAAACAAGCTCTGAAGTGCTGTGTGAGCTGCCTTGGTCCCGTGAAGAGCTGCTGTGGGTGTGGGTCAGCCACATCATAAGGTAGAATTAGGTCTGTCACCTGTTATCAGGCCTGAGCTGTAATAGCACATTATATAATTTTATAGTCAAACCCTAAACCCAAACTTCCTCTAAATGCTGCTGGGTCTGTTTATATTTTTGCTGCTGAGTCCATGATGTTCTGTGGGTATCCTAGAATCAGGTTGTATGTATTGGACAAACACCCTGTTGTCCAAATGGGGTACTTGCATTAGAAAGCTTGCCTACAAAAGAGAGCAAGAAAGATTTAGGGATGTTTTCCCCTAAAGAGAAGGCTCACAGGTCTTCTTGTGGGTACTTTCAGGTTCTCAGGAGGCTCAGTGATTGCACAAGTTCATGTATGAATATTCCTGAAAATCCCAAAATACAGACATCATGCTCCCCCATAGTTCTTTTTATTACAATAACAGGCCTTTACCTAACAGCCCAACAGACTATTGCCAGTATGCAACAATTTTGTTTTAATGGGAAGACATAATGAAGTGCTTTGTAAGCAAGTAAGTGATGTTTAGAGTGAGCCTTAATAATGCTTAATGTTTGCTTCTCATGTTGCCAGTCTGGCTAGGCATTTTCGAAAAAAGATGTCAAACAACTAGAGGTCAAGTCACATATGCCTTGGGAATAAAGGGACTGAAGAATAAATTGACTAGAAGACTCTTGAAGGGCATTCAGGCTTTGGAAACTTAGTTTTGTTTGAAAAACCATAGTGGCTGTGCAATGTCAAATCACAATTCCAAAGGGCTGTGGCTGACACCTGGCTGGCTTTGGTAATGCACATTTATATAAGAGCTTAATTTATTCAGACTCTCCCTAAGTCTAACTAGTGAGTAAATATAGTTTGATGACATTTGAAATGTATTTCAAACACACAAGTGTGAGTTTGAAATATGTTTGACTTCAAATCCAGTCTACCTCAAATCTGGTTGAGACCTAAAATTTCCAACTTTTCATTTTGGTTACATGTTGGAGAGTTTTGTCCAGTAGAGCTCCCCCAGGCCACTGTGAATGAGAATAATTCTACCAAGACACGATCAGCTTGGGGAGGAAGGCTGACCAATGTCTCAGAGGAGAAAAGTGTTTTAGCCTCTGTCTCAATGGACTTTTATTGAGTTTAGCTTGCATAAAGATGCATATCAAAGAAAGGAGGTGTGGTTTACAGATAACATTTCTGAGATCATGGGGATCCTTTCAAGTCAGGGTCTGGTACACAGGATGATGCCAATCAGCTGTAAAACCTTGGGAAACAAATTTATTTTGTGATTGGGCCCTTAACATTTAAATTGAGGACATACTTAGCAAAGCAGGTGTGGCAGGACTTTATGTATTCTTTCTTAGGTCACCACCCACCCCCATGCTGGGCACCACTGGTTCTGGCACAGGGCTGCACCCCCCTTTGGCATTGTTTCAGGCCAGAATCAGGTAGGCAAATCAAGGCAGCCAAGAGATTAGGAAACTTTTCACAGATAGAATGAGGACTCAGGCTATGATAAAGCCGAGGGGTGAGGGTTTTTTGTCCCTCCTCCACAGTCCCCTAAGTCCTTCCTTGATGGAGCCTTCATGACCGTGCCTGTCTTAGGTTATCCCTCCCTTGAGGTATCTTAGCCATCATTGGCTAACCAGTCATCTGCCCAGGGCCAAGCAGGGTGAAGTAAAGGGGGCAGAGGCAGCGCCCCTGCTGTGAGGATACATTTTGTGGCTTATGGTCCCAAGATCCCCTAGACATGGAGCCTTTTCACCTGTTAGCAGGCTTAAGGCCTCTGAAACCAGGCAGGAGAGTTCCCAGCAATCACAGTTCTTCTTTTAGATGTTTGGTGAAATAAAAGGACTAGTTCTTTGTTGTTTTGTGACTTAAATAGGTCTGTTACAGTCAAAAAGGAATGTGGCTCCTTGATTTTAGGTGTTACTGCATGAAACTAATGATTTTCTTGTGGTGTCCCCCTTCCACCCCTGCCAGGAAGGGTGCTTGTGGCCTTCAGACAGCTCCGATCCTCAGCCAGGTGCCTCAGAGGTAAGGGATTGGACAGGGAGGGGTGTAAGTGGCTGGAGGTGGCTGCTGAACCAATGTGCATAGAGGAGGGAGGAGAGGAAAAAAACATTACAACAAAAGATGTGGAAAAGTCAAATGTATGACAACATAGAATAAGAAATAACATTTATTAGCCCTGGCTGGTGTGGCTCAGTGGATTGAGCACAGGCCTGCAAACCAAAGGGTCGCTGGTTCAACTCCCAGTCAGGGCACATGCCTGGGTTATGGGCTAGGTCCCCAGTAGGGGGCAACCCTACTGGGTGAGAGGCAACCACACATTGCTGTTTCTCTCCCTCTATTTCTCTCTTCCTTACCCTCTCTCTAAAAATAAATAAATGAAATCTTAAAAATTAAGTAACTTTTATTATGTCCATAAGAACAAACTGACAGTAACCAGAGGGGAGGTGGGAGGGGATAAAGGAGAAGAAATGGGGAAGGGTTTTCAAGGACATGTGTAAAGAACACATGGACAAAACCAAAATGGGGTAGGATCAAGGGTAGACAGTGGGAATGGTTGGGGTGGTGGGAGGAGGGAGGGAAATGGAGACAACTGTACTTGAACAGCAATAAAAAATGTGTGGAAAAAATAAAATAAAATAAAGTCTTATATAATCTACCTTCTAAAAAAAGAAATAACATTTAAATTAAGGCATATGCCCATAATTTAAAATCTCCTAGGGATTATTGATGCTAGTTTAAAGCTCCCTACAGAAAACAGGTTGAGAATCACTGATCTTTATATGACCCTATAAGTTGCTAATAATGAGGCTTGGCAGAAGAGGGCATAGTTTAAAAATAGAGTATGATTCATTTCCACATCTTCAAGTTTAATAGTATAACTTAAAAACAACAGTGTCTTTTACCTTTAAGTTAAAAATATGGTATGGGAGAAGTCAATGGATGAATGCAAACACACACACACACACACACACATATGTTATCTTTACTCTAGAAGAATGGGTTTTGAAATAGGTGAGAACACTATGTAAGAATTCACTTTGGAAAATATCTATAATCATATTTACTTTGAATTACAAAACATTTTTCATGTCAGTTACTAAAACTAACTATAGGAAACTTTTGTCTAGAAAGAAGTAACTGGAAAGGATTAGAGACCAGAGCGGAAAAAAAAGTCACTTATTCCATATTTTTTTAAGTATTTGATGGGGCAACAAGCTCCTATAAATAATTCATAAATTGACCCAGTGCTTCCTACCTGTTCTAAGAACCAACAGGTGAAGTTGTAACTTATATTTACAATGAAAACTCTGAGCCACTCCCCACTCTTCTGAATCATAGGTGGGAGAGTGGGAGGGACCTGAGAAAGCAGGCAGTCCAGTCCTCTTACTTTATACATAAAGGAGTAGAGACCTGGACAAGGGACAAGGTTATGTGGTAAATAGGACCAGAGTATCTTCTGCACAGCACTCTTCCACTGTGTTACTTTTTTTTGCACTCTGGAATTTACTCATGTATTTTACTTCACTCAGTGGGAGACATACACATGTTGTACAAATAGCATACACAATATCTCCCATTAAATCCAAATTTTCAGTTAAACACAATTCTCCATTATTGAACCATATTGGATAAGTGATAGTTTGGCAAGGTGAGTAGTCTGACTCATGAAAAATAAGAAAATTATATTTATGGCCCTGGCCACATAACTCAGTTGATTAGAGTATGAGCCCTATACCCCAACGTTGTGGGTTTGAAACCCCATCAGAGGACATGCAAGAATCAATCAATGAATGCATTAATAAGTGGAACAACAAATCTGTTTCTCTCTCTCTTTCCCCCTCTCTCTCTCCCTCACCTGCCTCTCTCTAAAATCAATACATTAAAACAATTTTAAGAAGAAAATTACATTTTTTTCTGTAATTGTCTTTCCCTGTTTTGTTTGGGGGGGGGTAGTTTTCAGACAGATGAGAACACAGCCCAAGTGTGAATTTTCTTGATACCATCACATTTATTATCATTATTGTGCCAAGAATATCTTTAAGCCTTTGCTCTTTTCCTTGCAGATCATGTACCCATCTCGGTCTAGAGACAGGTTTGCTGCCCCATCCTTTATTCAGAGAGACCAGTTCAGTCGCTTTCAGCCCACCTACCCCTATGTGCAGCATGAGATTGACCTTCCTCCCACCATCTCCCTGTCTGATGGGGAGGAGCCACCTCCTTACCAGGGGCCCTGTACCCTGCAGCTCAGGGACCCTGAACAGCAGATGGAACTCAACCGAGAATCTGTGAGGGCCCCACCCAACCGAACTATATTTGATAGTGATTTGATAGACATTTCTGTGTACAATGGGGGCCCGTGCCCACCCAGCAGCAATTCGGGAATTAGTGCCACCACCTGCAGCAGTAACAGGAGGATGGAGGGGCCACCTCCAACGTACAGTGAGGTGATGGGCCACTACCCAGGAGCTTCTTTCTTCCATCACCAGCATGGCAACACACAAAGAGGGAGCAGACTGCCATTTCAACAGGACAGCTCTGGAAGCACAATGGTGCCCATCCAGGGCAAAGACAGGAAGCCTGGGAATCTTGTCTGACCCTCCAACATTCACTTGAATTAAGAAGAAACCAAGGAGGGAGGAGGGAGGAGGTCTGCACAGCTCCTCTGCTCCTGGGCACAGTGTTGTTGAGTTTTATGTGCTACAACTAAGGAAAACCAAATGGGCAAACGTGGTCCTTGTTTCTGATTCCTTTCAGGGGAATTGCATGCAAACTAGACTGAAATGATACAAACTTTCATCCGGTCTGACCATAAACAGTGTTTATTTGGGGGCAGGCATAGGGAGGGGGGATAGTTTGGGCAAAGGGTGGGTATGGGAACACAGGGAAAGGGATACTTTGAGATATCATGAAATAAAACCCAGAGGTATTTGGTTTATTTAATTTTGAAAGGAGACTGCAGAGAAAGAGCCCAGAATGGCCTGTTTTATAGTTAAATGAATAAAGAAGTAAGCATTACTATATATTATCATGGGGAAAAATTGGCCAGCTTGCTTTTTATCCCAAGGTATGGAACTTTTGTTTTCAAAATATGATTCAAAATTCCTGTTGGTTTTTTTTTGTGCCAAGGTAAAGTGGAGAAGTTAGGTGAATGCAAGGAGTTAATTTGTGTTATGATGATGTGTTTTTAAAGGTTGCACTATCTTAATGTTTAAAATATATATAAGGGAACTGTTTTATGTGACATTCTTCTGTATATTGTCTTTTCACCTGTGGATTATTATCAGGTCTGAGGAATACCCTGGAGTGTGCCCCATAATTGTGCAAGAAAAGTTGTTTGGGGATGTAGCCTAACATGCCAACTTACATAAATCAAGGAAGTTATTATTGTAGGAATTTGCATCAGATAGCAGTGTTTCACTGAAGCATTTGGAGACTTTTGGATGGAAGATGGGAAATACTAAGTTTCAGCATTTCTGTATTGTTGAGTTACACTGCTAGTCTTAGGCTGCATGTTTGATTAAAAATGAACCTGACACATGAATTTATGCATCCAGTATCATGCAGCTTCCCTTGTCCTGCAGCAGTGGAGTTTCTTTAGTAACTTAGACTTTTTTTCACTGTAGCATGAATTATACTCAGATACATACATTATTTTATGCAATAAATTGTTTAAAATGTAAGGTGGTTATTTTTAACACTATTGAAATAATGTGACTTCTCAGTATATTCCCATCTTCTCTCTCCTTTCCTAGACAGTTCAATTCAATCCTGAACAGCTGGTCAGCACTCGAGAGGCTCTCAGTGGTCACTCCCCATGGAGCCTCCCAGCCTAAGTGTGTGAGTGATGCTGGCAGTGGCTTCATGTGTAGAAAGGCCCTGAATTGACAAAAGAACACCACATTGCTGAGCATGACAATAAGCCATTGCACTTCACTAGTACTGGCTCAGCATTCCTGGAAGAATGCAAACTCCTAAGGGAGTTCATTCAGCCTTTGCAGTGGTGGCCAGAACTGGACAGTCAGTTATAAAACAGTACAAGGTAGAGAAGCAGCTCTAAAAGCACAGGATAAAAAGCACAACATGCAGTTAAAATGCAACTAGAAACAAATTTTAAATATTGTTTTAATATTCCTGATATTTACGAATATTTGTTCTTGTGTAAAATGAATAACTTTCTTTTGCAGAAGTAGGCATCTGGCTTTAATAATAGCACGAGCCAATGAGTCCATAATACCGAATGATGGGAGGGCTTATCTGTAGCAAAAGCCTGTTCTATGTGGGTTAGGTTCCTTTGGCCTCTGCATGTAACAAAATGGAATGGAATGGTGACTCTGATCTCTCTAGTTTTACTGCCAAATAACACAGGTGTGTTTGAGTCTGTCTGTGGGTCACTGAGGTAATTTGTCAGTGAGGTGCCTTTGTGCTGTTGGCTGAGAGCTGGAGAGACTATTCCGAACTACAAGTCCTGTTTGCTGCCCTCTGCTCTTTCTGCTTCTTCTCTTAGTAGGTTTCTGGTTTCTGTTTTGTTTTGAGGATGGACTCTTTGTTGGTTTTATTCATTTCACCTAGTAATAGCCACAGAACTAGTCAAAATCTCAAGAGAGAGAACAAAGGTGGGCAATAGTTGGTTGGCGCTCATACTGCAGAGTGTGTCTGAAAATATGTTCACTAAGAGTCCAGTGGTAATCTTAAGACTGAGCAGAGCCCTGGGAGCCTTGACTCAAAACCAGAGCCTCCTAACCTCTCAGCTCATTGCCTGTATCACAAGCCTGTGCTTGAAGGAAACTGGGAATCTTTATGGCATGAAGCCCATCTCACCCTGTCAGGGGAAGATTAGGAAGTCCTTGTCCCAGTCAGAATCTGATTGGTGGAGGTTTGGAGTAGATTATTGGTCAGGTGTCCCCTGACAAGATTAGCTAATTATATCATTCCAAACCTTGCCTGCAATTTTGGCAAAGTAGGTGGACCCACCACACAACTAGCTCAAAATGTTCTTACAATCCTTAACTTCCCTACCTGCTGCAAGAATGACCTAAGGTCAAAAACTTGTCAATTCCTAGTCACTTTGCAAGTATATGAATGTTTTTCAGATGTTCATATAATTGGAAGAACAATGATTTAATTCAAATAAATTTAATCATCCTTCAAAAGAAGGTTCCTCCCATTAGGCCACTCTAGAGAATTGCCCTTTAAATTAAATAGTTATTTAAAGACAGAGAAACATACAAAACTATGACTTGAAAGGTCTTGAGGCTGGACCTTAGTAATGAATTAGTTTAAAAGCCAAGGTCATTATTAATTCACCTTGAATGAATAATAAATTTCCTTTTGACACAGGGAAAACGTGACTTAGATCAGTAGCTCTTTCCATACCTTGCTGGTCTATTGTGGAAAGAGGAGTGTTTGTGAAGACGTAGCTCACATAGTGGGGCCTAATGTTCTAAAGGACTGTACTGTTGGAGCCCAGGGACCCAGTTTAGAAAGCAGTGATTTAAGCAATCAGTAATAATAGGTTGATTATTTCAATCGAGAGCAAAGGATTGCATTGTTCAAAGAACAGTTGGTGGGAACTGATACTCTGGGCATCCAACTGTGACTTGTCCCTTGTCCCAGGGACTTCCAGGAGTACGAAACCCAACACATGCTGAGATCCATTTATAGAAATGCAGTCTTCAGGCATATATTTGCTTTTTCAGGAAGTCTAGTGTTCTTCAGACCCTGAAACAGTCCTCAGTACAAAAGAGATTTTGCTGAACTAATTATGCATTTAAAAAGTTAAAGTATTCTTTGCATTTCTGACCAAAATTTAGTATTAAAGAAGCTTAACAAGCATGTCCTCTGTCCTCCCCATCATATATACACAAAGATACACAGTCCACAAAAAATTTCAAGATAGCAGAGAATAATATTTGAAACTTACAAGATTTGTCATGAGGATACATGCACATATATATCCACTAAACTTATGGGAGAGGAACGAGGGGCCAAGAGTAAACTGGAGGACTTTTAACACCGGCACAGGAATGTGGTACACCGATGAGTGCATCTTGAGCTTCTAAATATCTCCACTAGATCTTCTTCACCTTTATCTTCATAAGAATGAGGTGTCAACAGGCAACTACTTTTAGAAATCTTCTCTTATGTGAAAGAATCCATTCAAATCCCCGTCTTCCTCTCAGAACCAGTAGTTTCATCCTGAAAGGGGTAATCCTGTATCTTCCATCCAATTGCTGTTCTCTCAAGGAAGACCTTTTTAGGGTGAATCCTGGTGTAATGGCCTTCAGATACTGGTCCATAGCAAAGAGATACACCCATTCAGCCCCTGCTCCTCAAAAGAAAGTCCATCCGTGCCTTGGCTACTCAGGCTCCTGCGTGTTCCTGGCGCCTCATGTCTTGTTTGCTGTGCTGGTGCTCACTCCTTGAGGTTTGATGCTAAGAATGGCAACATTCACTGAATATTAATTGGTATGCGATTTATTTTTCTTAAAACTTTGAAAGCTTGACAGTGTATAAAAAAAAAAAAACCTGGGAAGAATACTTGGTTTTTGTTCATTTTTTTATTTTGTCTGAGTGACTAAAAGCAGAACCATGCCAATGCTTGGTGCCAAGCCTTTGTACAGTGACATACTACTCCCCAGCCTTTGTACATACTACTCCCAGCCAAGCGTCCCAACCTTGGCTGAAGAGCAGGCATGCAGCCTCCAATCTTCTTCCCCTTACCTAGATTACCACAGACAGCCTTGGCAAATTTAGATCAAATTGCAGGACTTTTCAACTTGGGTGACAAGTTCACAAGTCCTCCTCCTCACTGTGAAGAACACTGTATCTGATAGGGGCACACCAAAGTCACAGATTAAAAAACTTTGTTTTCATCCCAGGTCATGAATGATAGTCCCAGCAGCTTTACACTCACCTAACTTTTAGGTATTTAAAGGAGGCCTTGCAGAGAACAGAGGTGGATGGAAAATGGAAAGTACTCTCCTGCCTTGAGATATATCCTACACTTCAACTTATGTTATTGTACTACCCACAGTGCTGCATCTTTTGCATATTTTATATTCATGATTTCTGCCAGGATTAGACAGTTATTTGCTGTTGCTGCTTTCAGGTTGACTGTGTTAGAGGTTGTCCTGAGTAGGATGCCTTGCTAAGAAAGCACCATCTTCCCTTCATCCTTTTCTTTCCTTCCTCAGTGTGTGCTTAAGTATACTGTGGTGGGCCTTGGAGCTATACAGAGATTATCACTATACAACACATGCATATTATGCGGGTCCGTGTCACTTCAGAGAGTTCTGTATGGCAGTAGGTTTTAAGCAACCACATGCCCTTATGTTCTGGTGTTAGCAGACATAAGAGCTGAACCCCGCCACTGCTGTACTGTGCTCCACCTTTGTTGTGCCTCACTTACAATGGTGCTTCTTCAGCTGTCTTTTCCTATGTTTTTATTTGTAAGGTGCTGTATATAACTTGAATATATTATGCACATATCCTACCCAATGGGTAGAAGAAACATTGTTAATATTGTAATATAATATATAGATACCAATTTTAACAGAAATGGCATAGAATTTGTGAATGCCTATGTGCTTTGTCCTCTTTTGTAAGGAAATTTGCAAATGGATGCATACAGATAAAAGTCTATGTAGTTTATTTTCCTATTAAATATCAATATTATAACACAAGGGAAAGAAGTCTGAACAAGCAAGCTACTTTATGACCAGCATATGTATAGCAATTGAGAGTTGCATCTTTGCTGTGAAAACATTTTTAGAAATTAATGTTTTTTAATTCCATGGCTTTCTGTTTACCACTAGATACTGCTTCTTTTCATCTTTTAGTGCTTAGTTGGACCAGTTTTAGTTATAGTCAGGAAAAATGTTGATTTTTCAACTTGTTCTATAAAAAGACAATTTATGTCTAAAGAATAATGATGTGTTAGACCCAAGAGAAAGTGCACATTTTGTTAAAATTGTAAAAATTGCACCAAAAGTACATGGGCCTACAGCAGACAGAGGACTTTGTTCAGTACAGAGATATTTATGCTTGTGTCCTAAGTCTCCCTCTGCATTTTCCTTTGACAAATTGAAGCTGTGGAGCCAATGAAATGACAATGGAGTTCATAGGGAAAGAATACCTCAGGAAAAATGAATCCACATCAGAGAAGACCCCATTCTTTGAAAAAACGTTGTTATGAATAGTGGGTTATCATTAGTAGAGAATTAGCTATCTGCCAGCCAAGTGAAGAATCTTAACATTCATTCCTTTTGGTGTCTCATGGTGATCTTGATCCAAGAAATAAACTAAGTTTGGCCACTGGTTAGGGATTATGTTTGGAGTTGCATGCTGTGTCTCCCCTCTCTTACACAAGTGTCTGCTTCCAGCTCAGTTTTTAGTGTCTGACTGTGACTTCTGCATTTTTCAAATATCCTAATATATATTTTAAAACCCTATAACAGCATGTTCACTAAACCACTGTTGAATCATGTGTGTGAGCATCCTTTCCAGTGTGGTCCATAAAGGCCATCAGTGAAATTTTACCCATTTGATATATATTTCCAGTGTATTCTGTTACTCAAGGATATTAATTCTAATAAATTCCATGGTTTTTATTTGCTCCATGGTTTATGTTCTGATTCTGAAAAATCACAATAAGAGCATACCCTTTTCCTCCAGAAAGCAAATTTTTACCAATTATTCTTAAACTGAAAATGCTTGTACAACACAACTCAATGCCGAACGGACTAAAAGTCAGCCCTTCTTTTATTATGTATTTTTGGGAGGACCATGGAAAGATCATTATCTTGTGTGCTCCCCATCCGTCCAGCCCCACTGTCTGCCCCATCTTATACTGTAGGGCTCCCCTGTGATTCAATATTATGAACAAAGGCTCATTACTGCTAGGAACAACACCCTTACCCACCCTGGTTTGATCTTCTGGAAGGACTGTTGAGCAGGTATAATCAGAGAATGTTTTGGTCTCAGAGGTACTAAAATTTGTTACCACACTGTTGTTTTCTTTCTACAGATCTAATTGAGATTTAAACTTTACTGTTTATCATACTGGTTTATTTTAATATGCTTATTGGTATATTGCTACTTTTCATTTCATGGCTTTCAAAAATCACATTTTCTACTTGTATACTTGTCTAGTTTAAAGCTCTTTTAAAATATGTAATACTATTCACAGTATTTAGTTCATTTAATTTTTTATTATAAAGCAGCCTACTTAAAAATACAAGTTCAATTGTATTTGAACTTTTCAATTGTTGTTCATGTGAACTATGATAATCAGAAGTCATTAAAGGATTTTTTAACAGCATTTGTGCTTACTTTTCAACACAATTCCCGGTTATATACAAAAAAAAGTTTCCAACTGTTGTGTATCTGCTTCTTTTTAACTGAGCAATGGTGATGTAGTTCTTAGACCTAAGGTCTGTAATTGTAATGCTCTTAAAGAAAGATGTTGCTCTAAGTGCTGCTAAAGTTATTAAATCAGCTTTTTCTGCTTGTTCTTAATGCTGTGGTCAAACCACAGCACAAAATTATTAAAAGTAATCAGTGATATACATGTGTCTCCTAGTTTGATTTTTAGTCTTTCAAAAACAAAGCACATGTGTGGGGAAAATAAAACTTCATGTGTTTTAAAACTCATCTCAAAAGTACACTTCTATGGTCCCCAAAGTAAACTTTCCATTCAGCTTTCATTCATTCTGACTTAAAAAAAAAAACATTATATTCTGCTACAAACAACTCTGGTAGATTGTATCATAGGATTCTTTCTCAGTTCTGCATTCTCCACAGACTATTCAGGGATTCTCCTCCGGTATCTCATGACAGGTACCACTGAGAGCTGCTTCACCTGAACTAAGATGAATGGGGAGGAATTTGTATGTGTCATCCAGTTTATCAATGGCTGTCACAGAGAAATCAGGTCAGCTCAGCCCAGAGGATGAACAAGATTTCTCACAATAATAACTGTTCAACAGTGAGACAGATGCTCAGAGGTTCAGATCCCTGGAATTGGAGGCTTTCAGTCTGTGATAGTAACAAAAGGACTCTAAATTTCCTTCCCTGAGAGATTAGAATTGTATTATTTTTAAGTTCTAAAGAAGAATATGGGAGAAGCCAGAGTTCTGGCCAAGATGGAGCCATAGGTAGAAACACTTCGCTTCCTCATACAATCAAAAGAAGGATAACAACCTAAAAAACAATAAACCACCAGATGTGCCAGAAAAATCAAACGGTGTGAAACTCCAACAAACAAGCAGTTAAAGAAACATTCACCCAGACTGGTAGAAGGGTGGGAGATAGGCAGCTGAGTGGACAGGATGCATGGCAAGGCAGTGGAGCATGTGGGCAAAGTGGGGCTGGCTTAGAGGACTTACAGCAAGGCAGGGATGACTGAATGGCAAACTAAAGACTCAAAGCTAGCTGTAAACTACGGTGGGGGGTGGCCATGGCAGGAAAACCCCCAGCTTCACCTGAGAGAGTTAATTGGAAAATGGGCTAGAGCAGAGCAAGTGAGCCTATTATTCCCTCTCTGATGCCTCCCCCACAGACAGGGCCACTACACAGCAAAGAGGGTTGCCTTACCTAAGGCCCCGCCCCTTACAACATAACAGGTTCACTGAGACAAATAAATATGGCCCAAATGAAAGAACAGATCAAAAACACAGAAAATGAACTAAGCAATGAGGAGGTAGCCAACCTATCTGATGGCTCAAAACACTGGTAATCAGGGTGCTCACAGAAATGATGGAGCATAGACACAAAATAGAGGAAGAAGTGAAGGCTATGCAAAGTGAAGTAAAGAAAAATACACAGGGAATCAACAGTGAAGGGAAGGAAACCAGTATTCAAAGCAACAGTTTGGACCAGAAGGAAGAAATAAACATACAATCAGAACACAATGAAGAAACAAGAATTCAAAAAAAATGAAGACAGGCTTAGGAACATCCAGGACATCTTAAAACATTCCAACATCTAAATCATAGGAGTGCCAGAAGGAGAAGAGGAAGAGCAAGAAATTGAAAACTTATTTGAAATAATGAAAAAAAAAAAAACTTCCCCAATCTGGCAAAGGAAATAGACTTTCAGGAAGTCCAGGAAACCCAGAGAGTCCCAAAGAAATTGGACCCAAGGTGGAACACACCAAAACACATCAAAAGTTACCCAAATATATATATAAGGAGAGAATCTTAAAAGCAGCAAGAGGAGACAGTTTCCTACAAAGGAGTTTCCATAAGCTTAGCAGCTGATTTCTCAAAAGAAACCTTATAGGCAAGAAGGGGCTGGAAAGAAGTATTTGAAGGCATGAAATGCAAGGACCTACAACCAAGATGACTCTATCCAGCAAAGCTATCACTTAGAATGGACGGGCAGATAAAGTGCTTCCCAGATAAGGTCAAGTTCAAGGAGTTCAACATTATAAAGCCCTTATTATATGAAATGTTCAAGGGGCTTATCTAAGAAAAATCATATACTATGAACAGTAAAATGACAACAAACTCTCAACTATTGACAACTGAATCTAAAAAACAAAAACTAAGCAAACAACTAGAACAGGAAAAGAATCACAGAAATAGGGATCACATGGAGGGTTTTCTGTGGGGAGGGCGAGGGAAGAATGGGAGGGGAAGGTACAGGAGATAAGCATAATTGGTCAGGATAAAATAGATGGGGAGAGGTTAAGAATGGTAGAGGAAACAGAGAAGTCAAAGAATTTATATTTACAACCCATGGACATAAACTAAGGAGGAGGAATGTGGGAGGTTTGGTGGGTGCAGGGTGGAGAGGGGATAAAGGGAGAAAAATTGGGACAACTGTAAGAGCATAATCAATAAAATAAAAAAATATGGAGTCACACATGACATGACTGTATATGTACAAAACCTCACAGAATATACCAAACCACTAAAATAAGTGAGTTTAGCATGGTTGTGGGAAATATAAAATCTTAAAGGTACCATTTGAATAATTATACAATTAAAGCTAAAAACTCTATGCCCTGGCTGGCATGGCTCAGTGGACTGAGTGTTGGCCTGCAAACCAAAGGGTCACCAGTTCAATTCCCAGTTGGGGCACATGCCTAGGTTGTGGGCCAGGTCTCCAATAGAGGGTATATGAGAGGCAACAACACATTGATATTTCTCACCTTGTCTTTCTCCTTCCCTTCCCCTCTAAAAAAAATGTTTAAAAAATAAAAATAAGAAGATAAAAACTCTAGTCGTAACACCCATTTTAGACTCTGAATTAAGGTTATTTTCAAAAAAGAATTAGAAAGTTATAAGGAGAAAAAATAGCTATAATAGGAGGATTTATTTTCCTTAAAGCAGCAAATAGTCACTGACCAATCGATTGATTGGTCTAAGCTCTGGAATAAATGCTGTAGCCTTATTCAACAGATCATTTGAGAAATATTTTAAAAATTTCCCCAAACTTGCTATCCTTAAGTGAAGCTAAGACTAGTGTAAACTCTCCTCACACAGAAAGTTCTTTCTTCTCAGAAGGAATGAGGGGATTCAGGGCTTGAGATTCCTGTGAAGATTCTATACAATAAACCCTGAGGTCTTCTTGTCACAACAGGAAACAGCAGTGAAACCCTCCCACCTCTCTGCCATAGGCGTCTCCACCAAATGTCATCTGTGGTAGCTAACTCAGTATGGGGTCCCCTGAGAGCAAAGACTGGGCCAAAGATCTGGATGCAAGTAGCTTATCTGAAGCTGTTCCTAGAGAAGGAAGCCAGTGAATGAGTGACAGTAAAGATTCTTGCACTGATTTCCACTCTAGGCAACAGAGGCTAGTATGGCACCAGGAAACCATGTAGGCTGTGATTTTAAAGAACAGGAGGCAGGGGACACAAATCTCAGTGTCCCAAACCAGAACAGAACTGGCTGTAGCCTGAACAAGCTCTGAAGATTTCAGAAGCCCAGTGGCAGAAAAACAGACAACTGATGATGCCTGGAAGGTGCCAGTATACACAAGAACTGCCCATCCAGACTGGAGCTGAAATGACAGTGACCAAAGAGCACTGGACTGTGGCTCTCATGCCTCTATGATGGTGCACACCAAACAAAGTTCTGGACCATTTTGTCAGACAGGATTACACTCAGTACAGGATAAACAGGGAACCCAACACCTCCTCCCCTTGGTGAGTCTCCAGTCCTGCCTGGGCTTCCTCATGCCCCAGTGTGGGAATGTGGGAAGCTTTTCACTGGACCTCAATGCTGTTGAAACACACCTCCACCAGATCCCAAAGTCCTCCAATCTCTGGCCCTCTCTGCCTGACTTCATTAGCTTCTTTTTGAAATAGAAGAGCTGCCAATTGCTAAGCAAGTCAATCACCAGTCACACTCATTGGGCTCCTTCTCCCTGCACCCTGAGGGGAACTTTTAGACATGCAAGGCATGCTTGAAAGGATCTTGTTTCAGATATCCATCCAGAGTGAGCCTTGGAATAAAACACCACTTTCTGACTCTGTGATACTTGCAGAGAACAGTTTATGAGTCTGTTACTTAGAACATCATAATTAGATTTCTCTCACTACACTGGCTTTGATGTTTTGTTTTGAATGGATTCCAATTAAAATGCACATTTTAAAAAGCAGCCAAAAAGTAGAAATTTTTCATTTATAAAGTTCTTTGTTTTAATGTCATGTTTCTGTCCAGGCCTCAGGTTTTGCTCTTTCTTACAGAACAAACCTCATTCACCCCACTTTCCACTCTCATTTGAACAAAGCATAGTGGTGACTGAAATACAGAACTTGAAAGGCCTTACTGGAAAACATTCACATATATTGACAAATAGTTGAATTACAGTAAGTAGCTCTGTGTAACTTAACCTGTTGCCAGGTGGGCCACCCTATTCCCTTGCCTATTCTCCACCCCAAGGGAGGGTTGTCATACCTGATTTTAGCCTGGAACTCAGAGGTGGCTTAGCATCTGTCCCATTTCCGTGGAATTTCCTATTTAATTAAATGGCAACACAGGCTTTGGAGCCCACAGACTTGGATGATTCAAACATTAGCTTTGCCTCAAATTAAAGCACCTGAAGGGTAGTTGTCTTGAGGTGTTTAGGAAGTCTGGAGGAGGTGTGCTTGTTATGCAGGACCCTCAAGAATGAAGGGAGCTGTCACTGCTTCGCTGTAACTTTTGTATTCTAGGCTTAATTAAAAAGAAATTTCCCCAATTACTACAGACCTGTAAACAGTATTTTGCCTTGGAATGCTCTCTCCACTAACCACTGCAGCTTCAAATGCCACTGAAAGAAACAGGCACCAATTTTAATGCTCCAGCAGTTAGTTCCATACAAGGTTGAAGGACCTGACATCAAGGTGAAGACTAAATCACCAGGCCTGCAACTTCCTTCCCACAGGCTTTAAGGAAAACACATTTGTTTCTTTCCCCATTATTTTAGGCATACATAGCATCTTTTGTTAATGAACCATATTGTGGGGTAAGGGGTGTCAGTGTTTCTTACAGCCTTAGTAATAAAATGTCAAATCCAAAGTGAGAATAGTTTTCAGTGTTGATTTGAGCATTGTTAGCGTTTCTCTTCACTTCCTCAGTTTAGGCTTGGGGGAACCTCAGGCTCCAAGTGCTGGGATCTTGTACTTCCTACCCTGCCTTTTCACTTCTCTTTGCTAATATTAGCACAGTCAGTCTCTTCCAGAATACTATGCACAAGCACTGGGTCTTCTGCCTCACCACCAACCTCCTCCAAACATACATGTTCTCCTTTTCTCAATGCTGACATTTCTTTCATGATCAGCTTATCTCCACCTGTGAAGGTATGAGCTTAAGCACAGCTAAAGGAGAGGGGGAAGCAGGATGCTGCCACCCACCCAAACCTCTGCATTCAGATGGAGGGGCCACTGCCCACAACAGGAGCATATCTGGTTCTCACCACCCTCGCTATATATCTGTGAAGTGTGCCATACACACTCCCTACATGTGAGTGACAGAAGGACACAAGGCAAATGCAGCTCAGCAAGTTTTAGCCAATCAGGCCCATTGGACACCTCCCTTGAACAGAGCCCACGTAACAATGGTACTATCAAAATCACAGCTTTTTTTCCTACCATTCTACATGGTGTATAAAGTGGCAGGGTTTAACGTTGGTCATTTTCACGGGCTTCAGAGAGGCCAACCCACCTTTTCGTGAAAACTAAAATTCTTAATCAGGGATATACTCAACCTTGGTGATAAAAATTTTCCACCAATGTCAGCTTCTGATCACTTTAGATGTTCCAGTAATTGACCTAAAGTAAATGGAAAATTCCAAACTGAGCTGGCTCAAAGTATGCCACAAATACAGTGCTCAGACATCATGACCATTATCATGACCCTCCCCACCCAGAGGCGATAGGGAAAAGCAAAAATTTTACCAAGGGGGCAATACAGTATTTCCTGAAGTAAAATGTTCTTTGGATATATGAAATATTAAATATGTAGAGATGTACATAGAGTAAATCTAATTACCAAAGTTTAGATTACTTGTTCTCAAGCATAGATTTGGGTGTTTGAAAATAGCTACTAACTGCTTTGCCAAGATCAACATAAATAGTAACAAGACACTGGCACTGAACTGGCCTACAGTGAACCTCCCCTAAGAGGAAAATAAAGCTGGAGCAAGAGAAATAAATGAATGCTTCCTTTTTGTAATCATACATGAGATAACAGAATAGCTTACTCTCTCCTCTTCCTATCATTCTAAAGAGAAAAAAAGTTGAAAACAGAATCTAAAAGAATTAAAGAGAAATTGTTAAGTTTTTACAAGCCTAAAGAAGACGGAAGGCACCAGCAGGAATGAGAGTAAGGATATTAATAAATTGGCTTTAGCTTCAAAAATACAAAGAATTTCAAAAGTCCCTAAGCATGGACTTGCTTTATCTTAGTGCCTCAATGAGAGGAAAAATATTAAGTGCAAATTGAGATGACTTTCAGCTCCAGCTCTTCCCATGCTCTATGTAAAAATACTGGCCTCGGTTTCCTAAAGGCAAAATTCTACATAAGATCTCTATAAGCCTGAGATTTGACTCAAAACTTCTATTAATTTAAAATGCTTCCAAAATAATGCACTTACTAAATGGTCTAGATTTCTCAACAAAAGTTTGTATAATATGTTTTGTGAACTTAAGTGTTTGAAAATACTATTCTTAGCTTTTTTATGGAAACTAAGACTTGTCCTTTATTTCTGTGAGGAATGCAAAATTGCTACCCACCGTATCTGCATCTTCAATAGGGGAATAAAAAGTGCAAGTTAATGAAGCACCATGGCAACCAAGCCCTGTAATTCTATCTCCAGACAGAGCTGAAGGGCAGTCAGAGTGGTTGGCATTTGAGGACTTCACAGAACATGCTTTTGGCACGCTGAGCATAAGAGAACCAAAGTAGCCACTATTCTTAGAAAAGCAAGAGAGACAATTAAGTCATCATGTTGTGTCCAAAGAAAATACTGACTCAATAAAACATATACAGTCGAAGTATATTTCAGTCATTATAGAACCGCAAATCTAGTACTTAGAGGTGTATACAATAACAGATATTTTTATATATGGAGAAAGTGCTGTTCTTTAAAAAAAAAATTCCAGTTTTAAGGGCCAAATTGGTATAAGGGAAGATAAAGAATTGCCATTATTTCATGTGATATAGTTAGAGTAATCTTTATGTAATTATTATAATAGAATAAAAGGCCGAATTTCACCATGCACTAAACTAAATGTCAGGAAACAACTAATTTTACTGTCCCACTCTTAGGAAAAATGTGCTGTGTGGATCTGCCCACAAGGATGGAGAGGGAGAACTGGCGTGCCACCACACAGAAAGTGAGGCATGCTCATGTGCAAACTTGTCTTTTTCAGTCTCTCTTCAAAAAGTTTTCTAAATTTAAAATGTCAAAATTCAAAACGGGAAAAGCTGGGCAGAGGGAGGCAGAAACAAAAGGGTCTATGCAATTCTCACTTTTGGGCAGAACAAGGATATATTTTGATTTTGGCAGCATGTGGAACATTTTTTAACCATCCCACGACTTCTGCTCTTATGGACCATGTTGTCCCAGAGAAAACACAATGTGAGTGTGTCTTCTACTTCATCTTACTCTTCGAAAGCGCTCTTATCTGTAAGGAGAAACCACATGATCTGAGACTGACTGATTTGGGCAGCCTGTGTGCCTCCCCATGATAATTATCCAAGCAAGTGACAGAATAAAGAGACTCAGTGTTACACTCTGCCCTGAAGGTTTCTGAAATCAAGATGCATTCTTTCTACTAAGAAGATAATTTCTATCAAAATAAGCAGATAATTGGCACAAGATAATCATGGTATTATTGTTGGTGATAGTCAATGATGCATAGGGAAGAATATGGCTTGATTTTCCAAGCATAACCCTGAAGAAGCAAGACAATCAAAAACTTGTTTTGTCTAGTTAAAAATAAGCCAACCTAACATAGAAGTCACAAAGGAAAAATCTCACAGAGGTAAAACACATCTAATTGCCATGACAGCATTTCCCAATATTTCAATTATCAGACAGCCAGGGCAAAATTTATGATTGATGATGAATTCTGAGAAGGAGTGGGTCCTCTAGACCATTCAAGTCTCTAAGGAAAGAATGAAGTCTTGACTCTATTGTACCTTCAGGTACCTGCTGCAGAATCTTTTGGAATTCTATTTAATACTAGCTTGGTACTGCTACATAACATTTAGATGGACCAAAAGAAACTTAACAAAGTCAATCTTTGCAGAATGGATAATTAAAAGTATCTACTTCCAGTTCTACAGATTTCTGGTTCAGGTGGTTAAACTCAAAGGCAGTGCAGAGGCCCACACTTTTTCTACATGAATCCTCCTGTGCTATTTGGGCATCTAGGCCAATGTAACCTGATGCACTGTCAATCATTACACAGATAAAGTCAAATAGTATAAGTAGTAAGCTTTTGACCTGAAAAACACTTTCTACTAATTTTGGTTAACATTTAATTAACTTTAGCTTAGGCCTTATGGAGACTCAGTTTTGAAAATCTGAAGTAAATGAAGGTCCCCATTTAAAAAAACTCTAGCCAACAGAAAAAATATATCTACATTACCATGAAAACAAGTGTTTTTCAGAAAGAATCCTTTAATAATTCAGAAATGTGTATCTTACACATTTTGTAGAAATGGTATAATTTCAAAAATGCTATGAAAGATGCACTCACACTTTCTGCCTTATTTGCCTTCTGTCCATTTCATTACTATCACCACAGTCTACAGTGCAATTGTTTACAATGTCTGAATTGGTTAAGAAATCCTGAAGCCATCTGAACCCAGTGCAAAGGACACAGGAAAAAGCTACATGGGTCTAATACACAACTTGCTTCTTTTCTTCAAATACCTCTTTTGCCCAACCTATTAAGATCTTTTAAGTTCCTGGAGTCATCTTTTAATATAACTGAAATAAGTCAGCCAATAGCTCATTCCATATGGGAGCAAAAAGGACCAAAGTAGTATGAAGGTACTACTTGTAAATAAATGGAGGAGGGGGGAGCAGATTCTGTAAAAATAAATAAACTGAAGATTATACTTCAAGACATAATTTTATTTTTTTCACTACTTGGAGGGAGGTCATCTCAACATATGCATTCTTTTTCTCCTTTGTTGAAATACGTAAACAGCACTTGTTGTATGCAAAAGGTTTCAGTAAAAGACATTTTTTGGTACTTTTAAAAGGTTGGCTTTGTTATCATTCTTGAATAAACAATGTCTCTTACCTGACTTTTCCATTTCAATTGTTAATTTGTTGAGCAAACCCTTTTTATCCATTTTATGTAAGTTAAATTTCAGTCACAGCCTCTTTATCTTGTCAACACATCTTACTTAAATGCTGATCAGATGGGGCACTTCTTTCCCTTGGAGATCACAGAAGTTATGGCCCAATTAATGCAAAGGCTAATGACTGTAAATGAAATGGGGTTTACTATAATATATTGCAAACTACATCTATTTACTCTCTATATAGCTTAACAATTTACTTAACTTCAAACAACATATTAAAGGTGTCCCCCTTTAAGCTATTTGTAGCTTGCCTTAAGGACTAGGTTAAGCAATATATAAGCAATAGCATTTGACATGTCACAACTATTTCTGATGCCAAATGTCAAAAGAACTTCACATCTTCAGAGAATTTTTATACTAGAGAATTTCAAAGCACTCATCAGTACCTCACTTTCTATTACTGAATAAATACAACACAATTATGAAACTGGATAGCAACTAAACTCAAATGGACTGAACAAAAGGTGGGTACTCAGAAGAATCCTAGTAGTTTTAGGATTACTAGTGACTTCTAAGAACCCACGATTTATCCTCACTAGAAAATATGTCCTGTACAATGTACACAGTGAAAGAAAAGTGTTTTAGTAGAGTTCCATATAATGAGATTTTAAAAGAGAAGAATAAGCTCAAGTGGTTAAAAAAATAAGAATAAACAAGAAATTTGTTAGTATCTTAGCATTTGATATCTGAAAAAATGTGATTTAATAAACAAACTAAAACATGTCAATTTTATTTAGATTTGAAAATGTGCTGCCAATTTGAAATTCCAAGTTCAACTCTGTATCCGGAGATAAACCATCGTCCTGATCAGCTGGGCCTGTGGTGCAGCAGCAGGTCCATCCCCTCCCCTTACTGCTCTGCTCCACCCACAAAAGAAAAATCCTAACCACGGCATAATTTAAGAAGTGTTCCAAGATAATGATTAGATTATGTAAGCACTTTTTCCCCTTTGAAGTATTTTCAAAATGTGGCCAGACTAAATATTAAATACAAAAATCCTGCCAAAGAGCAGTGATTCCTGCAGGATTGTTTTAAGCAGTTCCTCTAAGAGACAGTCTAGGAAAAGGCCACTCCCTCTTCTAAATGTTCCTCCAAGGGTTAGGATGGAAGTAAAAATCAGTTAAAGCAAAAGCAAACAGACAGAGATACCCTTAAACATACTCACACAACCAAGGCAACTTTCATATCTGACAATGGCTGAATTTCATTCCAAGCAGATAATTTAATGATAAGATTTCCTATAAAAATTTCAAGTAAAATGCTCAAGCAAAGATTAAATAACAGGAAAAAAGAAGCAGCTACAATTAAAAATTTTTTTTCACAGTGTGATCAACATTAACTATGGAACGAAGACATTGAGAAAGAGCACTAGCTTGCTGAGACACAGACCTGCCACATGACAGGGAGAGTGAGCCAGCTCCATGACAACCTGGTACCATTTTCCATCCTTCTAAACCTGCATTTGCTTGAGAAGCACGAGCTTGAGTCACTGCTTAAGATAATGTGATTTCCGCAATAAACTTAAAGTATAATTATCTTCACTTTTCCTCCAAAAAATTAGTTGGAGAGGACACAATTCATGGCAGTTTTATTTTCTAGGTGGAAAGGTACTATGACCATATATATTTGCTTTAAAAAATTTGATTTATGACAAGTTTCAGGTAAAAATCATTTTTAAATGGTCAATTTTTTCATTTACATATAACTGATGTATCTAACTTACATGTATGCCTCAATTTTTATTCAACTTTCTTCAAATAAATTCTGTATTTAAACTGGTATGTAACTGTTACAATTTTTATAGAAACACTAAATATCTTCTTATTCACAAGCAGTTTTGATGATAATGATTTGTCTCCACATTACGAATGGAATATAGTTAAAACCTCAATGAATAACATAAAGATGAAGACCCAGTATTAACTTTCTGTATACAGCCACATTTGTTATTCAAGGAGTTAACTGCCTAATCTAACTCAATTATAGCTACAACAAAACATAAAGCAAGTATTATTCTGAAGACCCTGAAAAAGAACTCTGTCTTATAAGACATTAATCACTGCTTAATGTTGCTATTGATGTGAAATTCTTATACTGGGTTCATTTTTTCTTTTCAAAAAAACACTGATTTTTCTAGTGACATTTAACATTAGAAAGGTTATCTTAGTTCTTAATAACCCTCAGAGAACTAGCTGACATAGTTAAGCAACTAACCAAAAATATAATCAGAAAGTTGTATCCCTGTCCCATGTTTCTAAAGGGTTAAAGTGCAGGAATTGTTTATAACTTGTTACGTAAGGCACCCTATTCCACTTTTTTTTTAAAAGAAACTTTTTCTTTGGTTTCTTGTAATTTTTCAGTGAGTCTATCCTTTGTTTCTTCCATTTTTTCTGTGAGAAGTTCCTTTGTCTCTTCCATCCTGTCCTGTAGATACTCCTTAACAGGAGGTGGTGTTGACATGTAGCCGTGACTACGCAAATACTTCACAGTGAAGGAGGTTCCCCCTAAAGTCACGGTATATCGGGCAGGTGTTGCAATCTAAAGGAAAAAAGCAAACAGGCAGATAAATACCTAATTACAACTATTACCATAAGCAAAAGCAATTTGAATTACTTTGTTTTACAAGGCTAATGAAGTTATGGTTCTCCCTCTTAACAAGGGGCGCTTCTTCTGTAAACTGTAAACAGATATTTTATAAATATCTGTTATTCAGACACTGACTCAGGATTGCAGAATGTTCATAGTGGCAGCACTAAAGTCTGTGACAGTGTACTAGTGAACCTGGGGGGAGGAGGAATTCCTTGGGAGATCAAAAAGGGCTTAGTACCACTACCAACAACAAACGTACGCAGGTCTCTATTGCTTAAAACCCTGCGGACCTACAGACACCCCCTAGAACTAAACTAGAACCAAATTACTTTAGATAGTAAGAGGCAAGCATGGGCCAAATGTTTTTTCTTTACTGCATTTAGTTTAGTTTCACTACCTCATTATAATCTGCCCAAGGTCTGGAAGCCCAGCCAGCACTTCCATGAAGCCAACAAGTGGTAACGTGGTACACATGTTGTAGACATGCACAGGTTTAACTCTGATCAGAGATGTTAAGAGCCAAACTAAATACTGTAGAAGATAAACTGGTCAAAAAGATAAACTGGTCAAAGAGAATCATAAAAGCAGAGTCTGCATCATAATCAGAGGCTTTTGTATTACAATTCAGAGTTCCACTGTAGATGTACTGAACACTCTTTAAAAGAGCTATATGTACTCTCTATCCCCAATTTCCCTCTTCATTTTCTCTTGAACTTAGTCTAACCAAGCTTCCACCCCCCACCACAAAAACTGCTCTCATCACCAAGCAGAGTGCTGTGAACCATGATACCACCTGAAACAGCTTTTCATGTACATCCTCTGCTTGACTTCCAGGCGTCTACTTCCCTGCTTTCCATCTCAGAGGCTGCCCCTTTCCAGTCATCCTTGTAGACTTTTCTTCATGCCGCCTACCTCTGAACACAGTGGGACAGCACTCAGTGCCTGGACCCTTTCTTTTCTCCACCTACTTCACTCCCTTGGTGGTCTTGTCCAGCAACTAATTCAGCAACTAAGGTTAGCCTGCTAATCAAAATTATAAGAGGAAATCTCGCAAGATTTTAGAGGATTCTAATAAGAATAACAGAAATAACATAACTTTTGTCTGAGAAATATTATAAAACCATAAATTCTAAGCATTTTTATACAATAAAAATAAAATAAAATATCTAGTTTCCAAATGCCTTCTACATATTTTCTTTCTTAAGATGAAGTTACAATGAGCCCCAGAGTTAATTTCAATTGAGAAAAATTAGATTAATATGGTGAAATTCCACAACTTACAATGAGTCTCCTCTCCTGAAATAAAGACCCATAGGTATACAAACTACTTATAAAGATGTCATTATCTAAATCCAGATGAGTTAAAAGTCTAATAACTTCTAAAATAAACCATGTATAACATCTAACATCTAAGGTTTATCACATAAAAAAACTTGAATTCAACTTTACTATATTACTTATTAAGAAGATGAACTATTATAAACATTAAAATAAATACTAAATTTCACGTATGAATCAAGTGCCATGTAAATCTCTGAATAAGGAAAATTAATATACTACTGATAGGAAAAATGTCAAAAAGATGATGTCTACCCTAGAAATTCATTAGTTTCACGTCGTATCAGAGCAGGCTGTGAATGATCTACCTATTTTCAAGGAACTTTTCCTAAACCATCATTTTATTTATACTTAAAATTGTAAATGTTTATTAGACATATCAGATATGAAATGCAATAATCTACATAACAAAGGTTAACTATTGAGTGTTAACATTGAGTTTTCTGGGGAACTGAGCACATCATCAGTTAAGTGTGAGGAATAATCCATTTATAACAGTACCTACCTTAAACAAGGCATATGCTGTTAGTGCATTTCCACTCTGGGAATTTTTCAGAATGTTTACCACACTGTCAGGTAATCCAATAAGTTCTAGAAAAGGAACGACATTCACTCCTCTAAGGAAAAAGAAAAAATAATTTATACTACACAAATTTTTAGGAAAAAGTATTTTCATAAGTTTATCTGAAAACACCAAAATGAAATTCAGTTTAAAAATCAATTCTACATAATTAAGCACTTCAATTTCATTCTAAAAGAACAGTATGTACATGAATACCAGTGTCGTGTTATATAGCTTACTCTGTGCAACTTTTGCTTCTGCATGGAGACATCCCTAATTAGCATATTTAGAAAAACAGAAGTATTTATAAGAGCAAAACTTATACTCTTCAGTAACTTAAAAGGATCAGAATCACTTACCTGATCTTAGTTTCCTCAACTACACACTACTTCCTTAGAATGCTCCAACTCAAACCTCAAGGCCTAATATTTCTACCTCTAATATTGTACATCCAACTGTACTATCATTGTAAAAGCCAGTGATATAACATTACTTATTGTACAATGCAAAAAATAAATGATCTATGGGTTTGATGAAAACTTCACTTATTCTAAAAGGATGCTTCTATGCTATTGTCAGACTTATTTAATAGGCAGGTGAAGAACAATTACCATAAATTGCAACATATTTTTGGAGAAAAGGCTGAGAAAGCCTCTAATCTGAGGTGTTAAGCCCTAATTTATTTGTAGTTTTCTTGATTATCAACATTTTATTATATTTGCACATTGCATGCATATATGCCCTCACTCATGCTTGTGTGCTCTCTCTCACCATGTACTTTTACAGATATTGTGACCCCTCACCTCTAAATTAGAACAAGGCTCTTGTTCTCATTCTCCCGCATACACATGATATAATTATCACACTAAAAAAATCTAACATATGCAATAGTTTATAGTTAATAAAATACAAGGTCCAGCAGAAATAATGCCTGCTTGAGTGTGGTTGGTAGGGTAATAATATGGGTATAATAATTTAAAGTTTTAATTTGAATATTTCACCTAAAGTGTCTTATGTTGTGTTAGTTTGATATCGTTAGGTTACAGAATTACATGCTTACAATTTTGCAATAAAAGGTTTTGTTAATAAAAAGGGGGCATTTTATTTGTGCCAGCCCCATATTATCTAATATTAAAAATTCCTGAATTGGCCTAGTTTATGTCCCTTAATGCTATCCTGTTATGTCTCTCTAGTCTCGTTTTCTCTAGAAATGCTCCCCTGAAGTTTTTGTTGAGGAGGAATGACCATGTCTTTCTTGACACTGAGATTTCTTAAAGCTTTTGTCTGATTATTCCTCATGATTAGATTCTCATTAAATGTTTTTCAGCAGGAAAACTGTACAGTGGATTCTGCATAGTTCATTTTGGTATACCATCAGGGGCCATATTAATATCGGTTTTTCCCATCACTGATATAAGTTTGATTCTTGGTTAAGGTAGGGTCCATAGATTATTCCACTGTACACATACAAAATCTTTCTCTCTGTAATTCAGAAAGAAACCTGCCTGGATCCATGATTATTATGGTAGTTGCAAACTCCTAATTTATTTTTAATATTAAAAAATAATTTGATTAACTGGGTAAAAGTTGTCCTTACCTATGATTTCACTATAATACTAAAAAACCACAGATTACTCAAAATATATGGTTGAATATCATCAAGGAAAGCTACCTATTATCTGTAAGAGGAAACCAGATAATTGAAGTAACTCTTTAAAGAGTTTGAGGAAAACATCAATTACAAATTCAATCTGGTTTCTCCTATTTCTATTATCATTTCCTTTGAAAACCACTTTCTTAGTGAGAATCCTATTAAGCAAGACTTAGTACCATAAAGACTATTATATGTATCAAATAGTCAGTATGTACCACAACATGCTAATTATCTTCCAGTACCAATACAACTTATAAAATTATTTCATTAACCATTTCCTTGTTCAGACTAAGCCCAGTATGTAAAATTTACATATTTAACAGCATGTCATGAAGGGGGGGAAAGACAAATATTTGACCAAATCTTAGATGAAACTGGGCGATTAAAAAAAAAACTGAAACAATTATTACCTTGGACACCTTGCATAAGTATCCTTTGTAAAATAAAGAAAAAAAGTACCTTGTTCTGCTTATTTCTAAAATACTGATTTGATAACTTGACTTTTAAAAATCAATTTTCATTTTTTTGGAATTGCTATATATGGAGTATTAATGAGAATTTGATTCAAACAATATACACTTTTTAATCACTTATTACTCTTATCTTCCCACAGCCTGACAAAAACCTCTGCCTCACAAACTGCCAGCTTTATGAATGTTTCTACTGATGCAGAAACACACAGGGCCAAAGCGCATGCATAGTCTGGATGAAGAGCAGTGAAAATCAGTCAGGACTTTGCCTTGGAGTGGATTTCTTTTTTTAGGAACTTGAGGCCCAAAACATGAGGCATCTAAACACAGGGACAAAGCCATTATCACAGAGCTAACAAATGACCAAACAGAGAACTTCTGGTTAGAAGACAAAATATACCTGTAAGCTTTTGCCAGATAGAAGTGACAACAAAGCTTAGCTTAAATAAAATCTACTGGCATGCACCATTTAGATCTCCCTGAAATAAAATACTTTAAAAGTCTGAGATCTTTATCACTGAGTTAACTAAATAAATAATGGCATCTTGCTTTATGCTGACTAGCAAGGCAGTATGCTAGTTGTCAGAGTGACTAAAACAAACATTGGTCAGTAATGAATGCAGTGTGACTTCTAATGCCCAACCTTCAAGTTACAAACTATTTTTTCTTCTTTCTTTTAATAGTAAGTAGGCAACAAGCAAGTAACAGTGAGCTTTCTCTAGTGAAAACTAAATAAAATAAAGCCAGCCTCTTGTCAGTTAAATTTTTAAAAACCTGTATTTAATACAATCAACTCCAATTTCACAACAAAGGCATCTCGCAATGAAAGATACACTGCTATTCAATCATATCCTGAATCCTTATTTTTAAGTATTATTTGTGATAAGATCTTCACTTATAACAAATCAACTTTCAATTTCTGAAGTAGTAAAGATTCAATAGAAACACTAAGTACTGTTCTGGGAAGCAACATATCCTACAAAATATAAATTTTAGGTTATGAGATGAATATTTTCATCTATAACAAATTTTCAGCTATGACAAAACTAAACAAGAAGTCATAGTTGGGCAACAGTAATGGGTCTGGCAACTGAATTAATTCTTATACTGGCAAATAGCCAAAGACAGGTTATGATGGGGAAGGGATGTGATTTTAAAGTGGACAGTCTTATGACCATGCTTACACACAAATGTTTTGCACAAAAGACAGGGACGGATAAAACTAAGAAAGGTGCATTCCATAGGGGATAGAAAAATGTTACAACTGTCTCAGGTGCCAGATAGCACTGCAAAAAATCTTAAGAAATATTAGTATCAGTAGGTTTAATTATTTTAGTTATAGAAATCTTTAACTGAAGAAGGAAAAGTAAAAGGACCAAAAGTACTCTTTTTAATAGTCCAAATGAGACTCTCATATTCAATTAATTAAAAACTTAGCTTTCTCCATCTAAGGCCAGGAGACTAAATGCTGATTAAGGGCAGCCTAAGGAAAGCAGAAGAAGCAAGTATTACCCCTGTCATTTTCCACAATATTAAGTCAGAAAAATACTCAATGGCTCAAAAAAGAAAATTTAATATGTAAAAAGCCATTAATTAAGTATAAAACTGAATGCCTATAGTAACTTTTATGCAAAATGGTATACAATTTTATGCTCTGCTAATAAACAAAGGGAAGTTTTGAAGACTTGTATAAAAATTACACATGTCCCAAAAATGTCATTAAAGAGACAATTCCATAAAGTGTACATACTTGGACCTTCTGTGAAGAAAAAAATCAATTCTTACAGAAAATAATACATAATAAAGAAAGATATAATTAAATAACAAAAGATACAAAGAGAAACAGAATCACATCAATTACACAGGTTAAAAAAATCCTCTTCGAACTTTTGTAAAGAAACATCTCTAATCCTGTTTTTCCCAAGAATAAGTACATTTTAATTCTACTGTCTTTTTGCTTCACCTGTTTTTTAAAAAAATCCTTACCCAAGGATGTTTTATTGATGTGTGTGTGTGTGTGTGTGTGTGTGTGTGGTGTGTGTGTGTGAATGAGAGATAGAGAGAGAGAGAGCATACATCAATATGACAGAGCAGCATCAATTGGTTGCCTTTTGTACGCCTCATGACCAGGGATCAAACCCACAACCTAGGTATATGCCCTGACCGGGGATTGAATTGGCAACCTAGGTGAGTGTCCTGACAGGGAATGGAACCCACAACCTTTTGGTGTACAAAGGATGCTCCCAGCCAACTGAGCCACTGGCCAGGGCCCATCATCTTTTAATTTAAATAATAAACATTCCCCAAGGCGTGAGCTTCAAACACAAAACTATTATATTACTAATATTTTAATATCCAGCTAGTAAATATAACCAAACACTGAAAATCTGTGGACTTTTGGAAAGTATAAAATAATTCTAATCCCATTAGGAGTGTTTACTAAAATGTCAAAGTGGTCTACAACGTGCTGTCTCATTGCCCTCATGGCAATGAGTTTGGTCACATCCTGCCCAGTACAAGAAAAGCCCACACACAGCAGGTTCAAAGGAACATGCACAGGTTGGGACCTGCTGGGTTCTACTAGAGGCAGAAACAAGCTGAAAATCATTAGGCACCTGATTCTTTGTATATTCCTCCTAAAAAATAGTGTGAATGATATAACTTACCTGAAAAGAAAGGAATGGAATTTAACTAGAAAAGAAATTCTATGTTTTACAATATCGGAAGGCTAGGCCTATGATCTTCACTTTTTAAGTTTCTTTTATTTTTTTGTTGTTCAAGTACTGTTGTCTCCACAAAATTAACCTAAAAGAATTATTTTAATTTAAATAATAAACATTCCCCAAGGCGTGCTGGTAAGAACACCTAACATGAGATCTACTCTCTTAACAAAATTTTAAGTGTACAACAAACTAACTTCTGATCAGAAAAGATAAAATATTCATATTTATCAGACATAATTAAATGTGAAGTTTGTTCTATTTTATGTCCATAACAGATATTAGCCAGGCTCTGGCAAAATTATCTTGCTAATTTTCCACTAAAATCATACACATAAAAAAAAATCAAAGGATATCTTCTTACTTTTATGAACACTTTAAGAAATATTAAAGAGCTCATGCTGCTGCCAAATTTCTGAAATATGATTTTCTTTCTGTGCTTTCCTAAATGTTAATAGGAGATGTGTACAATGATTGAGAACATGAGGTTTGAAATTAGATTCTGACTTATTCTGAAAAAAGTTATTTTGACTTAATCTGTTTTTTTTCATTAATAAAATGGGAATAATTGTATTACTTGTTTCATTTGACTGCTGTGAGGATTAAATGAAATAATACAGTTAAAAATTTAGCAATGCTTGATGCACACAGAAAGCAAATGTTAGTTATTATTATTATTAAAATGTGAAAAAGTTATGGAAAGTAGTCACTCTCTATCAATTAAAGACATTAAGGCATTTAAAAAACTATTTAGGTCTTCCACTAGTACAATTAAGAAGATTAACATTCTAATATAACAGGGAAGGTGCTCAACCAAACAAAAACTTACTTTATGGCTGCATAATAAAATGTTCCAAACCAAACACTAGAAGTTATTAGATGTACTGGAATCAAAACTTTTCCATATTGTCTAAATGTTTTCTTAAATCGTTGATAAAGACTAATAGATTTGTCTTGTAAAGGATCAGGTTCTTCTTTTTTTTCTGAAGGAGTTCCTGGAGATGTAGCATTAGATGACACAACCCTCTTGGAGAAAATATCTTGCTCCCACTGCTTAAGGTGAGTAAACCCCAGTTGGCGTAAATGAGCATCGAGTGGCTTCCTTCCCTTTGCAGTGCACTGGGCAGCAGATAAGTGCAGCCATTGTTTTTGAAGACCCTCTAACAAAACTACTCTGGATTCAGCTCTATATAAAAGTAATGATCCCTTTATATATTGACAGTGTCCAAAAAGACCAGTTTTATGTGCTTCCATGCATGTCCTATGTGCCCGTCGGAATACAGTCCTTGGTACATTCCATTGCATTTTGAAGAATGGTGACAGAGGATGGATTTCAGCTTCTATAGAGAATAGATTAAAAAATTAGATTATGTAGATTTCCATTTTAAACTAATCTATTTAAAAGTAAATCATTAAGTATTAGGAAGCAAAAAGACAATGCTACCAAATCCATGAAAGTAATGGAATAAGGTATATAGTTGTAACATGACACAGTTTTAAAATCTCATAAAAACACATCATTTAAATATGATAAACTGCCTAAAAGACATCATGGAGGGTAATGTTTTGAGGACATTTTATTACTACAAAATGCATATTTGTATGGCTCCATTACACTACATGGAAGCAGTGTAGTATAATGGAAAAAAAGGCAAAGGACTTGAACAGACACTTCTCCATGGAGGACCTAATAAAGGGCCAAACACTTATGAAAGGATGCTCAGCATCACCAGTCATCAGAGAGATGCAAATTAAAACCACAATGAGATAAGACTTCACAACAGTCAGAATGGCCATCATAAATAAATCAACAAACAACAAATGCTGGTAAGGCTGTGCAGAAAAGGGAACCCTAGAGCACTGTTGGTGGGAATGCAGATTCATGCAGCCACTGTAGAAAACAATATGGAATCTCCTCAAGAAACTACAAACAAAACTGCCTTTTGACTGAGCAATTCCACTGCTGGGATTATACCCTAAGAATCCTGAAACACCAATTCAAAAGAACCTATGCACCCCAATGTTCACAGCACCCTTATTTACAATAGCCAAGTGATGGAAACAGACTAAGTGCCCATCAGTAAATGAGTGGATCCAAATACTGTGGTACATTTACACAATGGAATACTATGCAGCAGAAAGAAGACCTACACTTTGTGACAGCAGGGATGGAACTGAGGATTATTATGCTAAGTGAAATATGCCAGGTGGTGAAAGACAAACATCCTGTGATCTCACCTATAAGTGCAACCTAATCTACAAACAATCAAGCAATACAGAACCAGAGACATGGAAACATAGAACTAAGTGACAGTGACCAGAGGGGAGGGGGGAGGAGGACAATGAGGGAAAGAAGGGGAAGGGTCAAGTCAAGGACTATGTATAAAGGACCCATGGACAAAGATAAGGGGAGAGGGGTAGGATTGAATGGGGGCGGGCAGGGCAGGGGAAGAGTAATGAGGGGGAAATCGCAACAATTGTAATTGAACAACAATAAAAATAAATAAATAAAATATATTTATTTAAATAAAAATATTGGGAAGCCAAAGGCCTGAGCCCTAATGTTGTGGGGACATAATTCATGCAATTCCTTCCTTTTAGACAACAAGCCCAAGTCCACTAGTACAATGATGATTACTTCATCGGTTGTTATAGGAATTACATGAAACTTCTGATGTAAAAGTGTTTTTATAAACTAACAAGCATCATATCACTGTTTGCTATCACAAATATTAAGGTCTGATGAATAGTTGATATTAGTATCATTTATTTTATAATGCCTTTAGACTAAATGATATTAAAACTGTAAATCACATGTTATTGGCTGGTGAAAAAAGAGATGGATTTTTCCAGATATCTATAACTTTTTGTCAGAAAAACAGTTATAATGTAATTTTAAAAGAACATGGACTTTGGAATAAGATGGACCCAATTGAGTTAATAGTGGTATTATTTTGAGCAAATTACTTAGCCTCTTCAGATATAAGCTTCCCCACTAATAAAAGAGAATTATAGTATGTATTACCACAATATATAGAAAATCAGTTCCCTTCTCTCAGCATTATGTAGTACCACCTGACCCCCAGTCTATATCCCCATCCCATACCTGCCAACTTACTATTTTAATACACTGATAATCAATGATCTTACTTTTTAAACTGTATAGGAAATAAGAATCAACACGACTTGAGTTAGACCTCAGTAAATCAGTATTCCAATAAACATCAGATACCCCACTCCATTTTACATGAATATTTGTTATATGGGTACAAACTCATCATATAAAACATCCACTAGTGAATTATCCCTGTATGAAACGAATTCCCTGACTTATCTCTCTCTAATAATTAACATCAGCTATTATCAGGTTCACACAAATAATTCAACACAATGCAAATAAGTATTGAAATGAAACTGCAAATCTCTGAAAACAAACAGGCTCCCAGGAAGCCTGTAAAGGTGATACTGGAAACTGCTACAATCAAAAGTAGAGTCAATACCATGTCACAACCTGAAGCATCAGGCCAGTTAACAACCAAAGAGAAAAACTATGGGGATACAGACAGGTATCTCCAATAAAGAATGATTCAAATACTAAAAGGCTAAGAAAAGATCACTATGAAAAATGATTAAACCCATAATTGTTTTTAAACTGACTTATTATTTGTACTGAAAGTCAAACACTGACTAAAGGATATATTACTATACTCTTCTGTGACCTTTATCATATCTATAAATCTGTGCATGGCTATGTCAAGTGAAAAACATCAACTGGCTTTTTATTCCAAAAATTAGCTCAGTGGAATTGAATTATAACCTAAAACCTTCCAAATATAAAGTTTACTTTCATTTTTCACACAAAAATTCCTTTCTCACTTTTTATTATGAATTTTAGGTCTCTATTTTAGCTGAATTTATTTTGAGGCTTTACTACAGCAATATTATTTTTAAATGTGGCTTTAGTGCAGGTGTTTTCTGAACTCAAAAGACTTTTTTTTTCTTTTAAAACTATTTCTTTTACAGGGCAGCTTTCTAGGAGTTGAAGCTCCCAGAAGTCTAACTTTCATATAACTAGATTACTATGCATTTAAATGTGTGAATAAAAGAAAGGCAAAGGGATTAAATAAATCCATAAAGCCCCTTTCCAACCTTTCAGTTTGCACCCTTTCTCCTAGTTTTCCTAGCTACCACCTCCCAGTTGCAAAATTTATTTTTATCCTCTACACTTACTGCTTGCTTTTAAGAACATCTTTACCACATACTATATGATTCACTCATTAAAGGTGTAGAATTCAACAATTTTTAATATATTCACAGCTGTGCAGCTGTCACTATGATCTGAGTCTGGAATATTTTTATCACCTCACCCAGCAAAAAAAAACCCATATTCACCATTCCCTCACATTCCAAGCTCCAGTCAACCACTAATGTACTTTTTGTCTTTTTGTATTTGTCTATTTTGTACATTTCATGTAAATGAAATCACAATATGTGATCTTTTGTGACTGGTCTTTCACTTAGCATAATGTCTTCAAGGGTCATCCCTGTATTATATCTTGGGTTATGATCCACCTCTGTTCCCTGAGAAAACTTTGGGCTAGTGGCTTCTAAAACAGGCTAAGCATCATAATCATAGAGAGGCAGGGATGTTGCAGGGAGTGGACGAGGTTTGAAAATACAGATTACTGGTCTCCATGTAGACCTAATAAAGCAGAATTTTCTGTGCCAGGTCAAACTGACATATGAATTTAGGGATCATTTCTCTAGATGCCGCAAATTGCTTCAGTGCCAGAGGCAGCATGGTGGCAGTGATATCATCCACCATCATCACCATAATGATAAGATGTTTTGAGCCCCCTACTATGTGACAGGTGGTTTGTAAACATTTCATATATATTAACTCATATTATTCTTATGACAACACTATGAAAGCAGAACTATTGTCAATGTTTTATATTTGAGGACACTGAAGCAAAGATAGAGTAAATAATCTGCCCAATGTCACTCAACTGGTGAGTGGAGAAGTCATGGCTCAAACCCAGTTTGATCTCAGGCCCATGCTCAGGCACTAAGCTAAATGTCCACTTTTAGAGATAGTGCCAATTTTGAGTAGACCAAGAAACATGGTGAAAGCTCCCTAAGAAAACACAGGTCCCCAAAAACGAGTCTTAAATTTCAAATTAAAAACTAAGTTAAAGTTGAATTATTTAAATTAAAATGGCAATATATGGGTAATGGCTACCACATTTGACTGTGAAGCTGTAGACTTCCAAAGGTAGTGGATCACAGTACCTTTGGGATACACAGTAAGAATAATTAGATTTCAAGGAACAAACCTACTTCAGATGAGTCCAAGTAAAGGGCAGGTACAAACTGAGTAGTATCATAAACATTCTGGAATGAATAGGCTTCAAGAATAACAAAAACCAGAGCAAGGTAGGAATCATCTTCTCTCACAGCTCATGCATGTATACAATGGCCTCAGCTAACAGGTAGCTTCCACTTCTGGATTTCACTACTCTTTACAATCAAAAGATAAAAGTTTTTTGGTTGTTGGTCAATGATGGAGGTACCACTCCTTCTAAATATTACCCAGATCAAACCAGCAACATCTGAACAAGTGGATGAGTAGACCTGAAGAAGTTGTGAACTAACAGGCCGGAAATCCTAGTGAGTGATGAACAACTTAATTTTAAATTTTTCCAATGAAACACTAGTTTCAGCAATAAATTTAAAAATCATGAGAATTGGCTTATTTCTTACATAAAAGTTACCTGTTATTTTCCTGTCCCAGCAGCATAAAGTTTTCATACCTCTAGATGGGAGGCAGTGCTCTAAATTGCTTATACATTCAAATTATAGAAATAGATGATGAAATACATCACTGGACCCAAGTGAAATGAGGATTCTACTCCTGCTGTGGCTATGTGTGCACATTTTAGAATTATGTCATTAAGGCCTTTAACACTGCAAGTAGTTGGAACGTGATTAATGGTACCTAATTCCAAGTACAGGGAAGAGCAAAAGTAGATGTACAGTTGTGAGTACAAAAAACACAGTTTATTCTTGTATTATTATTTATTAGTTATTTTCCATATGAACAACTGTACACCTACTTTTGTCATACCCTGTACAAAACCTTCCCTATATGGCAAGGACATCAGGAATAATTTCTAAAGTCTGATTCTGTCATGACTTAATTTTAACAGAGGTCTTGGAATCTGAGAGGTCACATGGTCTCAGAAAACAATATAAACTGTGTAACCTTTGGACCAGTTAATTAGCCTCCTCCTGTGTCCTGGTTTCCAATTTGTAAAATGAGGTTAATATTAGTACCTTC